ACAGGAGTCTGTTCTACATAACGACACAGTAAAGTAACAAAGCAAGGGTGCTGTGTGGACAGGTTCTAATTTTGTGTGTCATGTTTATGTATTCAACGAAGAAATATTCAACAGCTATGTCTGCCTGACAGGATTAGAACGCTCTTTCTGTTTTAGAAGATGATCTATTCATGGCATTGCCGCTGTCTCAAGATGGCTCAGGACTGAAGTCATTGTCCTGAAGCACACCGTCCTGACCTGGAGGCCTTTGGGTGCAGCCTGGCCCCAGCCTCAGCAGAGCAGCGCCAGGAGGCGACGTGTCAGCCAACGTCTTGGCTTCCCTGGAGAGCAGCTTTGGTCACAGATGCCTGCCTTTTCCCACATATACAAAGCTGGACCTGTCCTGATAAAGTTAAGTCATCTGAGCTCTCAGATTCACTAAGGATGCATGATTTCAAAACTCTTTAAATGTCTTTTCCGGGCAAAACACTTTACTGTGCCCAGATGTTTTGAAACTATTGTCCTATTGTCACACCCGAAGAAGGCTCCACGGCCAAAACTTTGTGTGTTTTTTTCTTCTCTTTTCAGCAGGAACAAACCTTTACTTGTTTACTTGCCGACGCAGCTCTCTACTTGAACTACTATTGTCCTGTTTGCAGACCCCTCAGTCAGTTTTCACTTCACTCTATTCTCACTTACACTCTGTTTTCAGCCCAGGGCTGATTCATAGCTTCACTATGAACTCTCATTACCCAGGACTGTGTCAGACAAGGCACAGACTGAGAAAATTCAGTAGCACTTTAGAAATCATCACATCCTTAAAATGTTTTGAAAGAAATCAATTATTTGTAGTAGCCCATTCAAATGCGATTAAATAAAGAAGTCCAGAAAGGCTAGCTTTTCCAGATAAACCTTGATTTTCTTTATGGGCTCTAAGACTTCTTAAGTCCGTCACTATAAATAATTAGTCACAAGTGCTATTGATCTACTCAGACCTAAAGGGTTCCTGACATCTTATGAGAGTTTTCGGATACATTTACAAGGTTAAATATACTTACTCCTGTGTCACCGTGGGACCCTATAAACTGGAGTGACACAGGTGCCTGTAAACCTTCACATTTAGTATTTTCAGCCTGCTGGGCTTTTCCACTCAACATACATGAGTCTCGATCAAAATGAAATTCTCTTTCACATCTCCATCCATGTTCAAGGATGGAATAACACCAGAGCTGTTTGTTTTAATTATTAAAAGTGCATGAATATTTAACTGTTGCGACCAAAATACATCAGTGCACTGACTAGTATAAACCAATAAGAACTTTGCTTTTAGGGTGTTCAAACACATTTTTGTTTACCACAATTTTGGAGATGTTAAGTTAAAGAAAATACCCTTGATTATTTCAATTTGCTTTTACCATTACCATTGAAGAAATTATAATGAGAAAATAATAGACTAATTTGAAGGAATATGATTCATTCAATATGATGATTGCAAAATCAAGATTGAAACACAGAGCTAACCAATAATGTTCATATCATGCGCAGGTGGATGGTGTCGGTCAGCCCCTGGGATCACAGGACTAAATGAAAGTGACCACAGGGAAAGGTTCTACCT